GGGGGGGGGCTAAAGATATAAGACAACAATTATGCAACTAGTTCTAAGGAAGGGGAGGCCACAATGACTGGTCTATTAGTCTTGTTATCTCAGACAGGCTCAAGAGCACAGTTACCAGAGCTATCCCACTCAAGAGAAGGATCAAAAGGATCAACCTGTCTTTTTACTATCCTATATCTTTGATACAGAACATAACAGTGTGCGATTAACTTCTGCTACCAGTAGAAAAACAAACTATAGTGGGACAAAAAGAGTTGGCCGCAGCTTTAGCAGAGAGATAGAGTCAGAAAGCTCAGTGAACATTTCTTTTTCTGTCTGTGTGTGTCTGGGTGTGTGTTTTGGTGTGCGTGTTTGAAGACAGGGTAAAACACTGAGGAGACAGACATAGGTGGAAAGATAAGGCTAAGGAAGTTGAGTCTATAGACAGAAAGTTGAGTCTGTAAAATCATACACAAGTACAGACTAACAAAGACAAGAGGCTGAGAGCTGCACAATCCAACAGCTCATTCTTCTGTCCTGTTGCGGCATCTGCTACGTCCAGATTCAGTCAGCGACGAGGCAAACAAACGCTGGACATTATCGTCACAAACACAAAAATAACTGCCATAAAAGTCCACCGCGGAGAAGCTGTAGGGTGGTCAGGACACGCCCAGACTTTCCTTCGTCCATCCTCTACTGTCGTTGGGCTCTTCAACAACTTCAACAGGGAGCCCAGGGAGGTGTGTGGCGGTCAGCAAGGTGGGATGTGGGGTGTGGGGTGTGTGGGGGGAACGGGGGTGGGGGCGGACTCCATATTGCATCAGTCCCGGATACCAGCACCATCACAGAAATGTCGGACATCGTCCTCTCAACTGTCTGCGCCTTCCCTGTGGGTGTCTTCTCATCTCTGGTTGCTAGTGGCGTGCGTCACTAGTTCCTGGAAGGGCGAACATGGGCCTGCAACAGAGGAGAAGAGGAAACTTTGGTAAAAAAACTGACAGTAAGCAGAAAACGTACATAACAAGTATAACATAACATAATTCCATTTGGTCAAAACATTGTCAGTGACCGCTCAGAGTGAATGATGAGTCAACAACAATCTGCTAGCTGATTAAAATTGTAAGATTAGTTGGAATAAGATCTCTAATACAGGGAGACAATCATAATCTTTATTTGGAGAGGAAATGAGCTACATTTAAGAGTAGAAAATACGGTAATTCTGCCCTGCCCTACCCCCAACCGCTGCCTCCCCCCCCCAAAAAAACACCACCAACACACACACAAACACACACACACACACTTTCCATCCATTCCCTGTATATGTATTTCCTTTTCCTTTTTGTACGTTTAGGACATTGTGACTTCCTTCTCGCAATTTCCTTATAGATCTCGAACTATCAGATCGAACACAGAGCAAGGCAACGGCAGGCCTAGACGAGAGATGAACGAACGAACGAACGAACGAACCAACCATCCCTCGTCCTATTTTTATCATCATCGTTCTCACATCACAACTAGAGCGGCCATCGAGCGGGGCTTTGCAGCAGCTAGAGAGAGAGGAGGATAGAGGGGGAGGGGGGGCTCGGCCTTTCTGACAAGCGACACGAGAGCACGCTAATGTTGGTGGTGAAGGGAGAGGGAGAGAGAGAGAGAGAGAGAGAGAGAGAGAGAGAGAGAGGGAGAGAGGGGAGAAGGGAGGGAAGGGTTGGTAGGCCATGGCGTCCCCAGCGGATAGAAATGAGGTCAGCGCCTAGCGTGTGTGTGCGTGCGTGCGTATGTGTGTGGATACGCGGCATGCAAATGAGATGGGCCGATGGAGTAGAGTAGAGTACGCTAGGAGGAGTAGGGGGAGGGGGAGGAGGAGGAGGAGTAAGTGCGGGCTAAGCCAGGATACGAATCTACGCGTACGGTATGAGAGAAGAGAAGGGAAGGGAGGGAGGGGGACAGGATGGTGTAAACACCCACACTACGTTATACTACACGCTACGCTACTTTACGAGAGAGAGAGAGAGAGAGAGAGAGAGAGAGAGAGAGAGAGAGAGAGAGAGAGAGAGAGAGAGATATCTCAACTTCTAATAATATAATTTTCTTAGGCTC